TCCCAACTTCGGTATTTCATGCACTGTCAACATTAAAAATAAAATTGGGGGACACATATATTGTACTTTTCGTTTTGCCAGACAAGGTCTTCTTAAAAACAAACTAAAACAAGGAAAGACCTGTCTACTATTTACTGCAGCATCATCCCCCAGAAGAATATTTCAACATCAAAAAAGGACACAGTCTAAGACTGACCGATAGTTCTTTAAGTTGAATAAATGAAGTCTTTAAAACTGAATGCCACTTTCAGCTCTCATTTCTTTCTCCTTGAGCAGGAGAACATCGCCACGGGCTGGCAGAGCCCTCAGGAACGGCCCAGAAGCAGGACCACAGTAGTCCAAGGGCCCATCTAGCTCTAATCTTGCAAAAGTGCTCCTTTATAATAAAATAAAGAAAAACATAAATGAGAGAAAAAGAGAGTTGAAAGTACAGAAGGTGTCAGTTAAAGAAAATACAGACAAAAAGATAGGGAGATAGAATAAGGCACGGACGTTTCACCGATGTTTTCAATACAGGCTCTCTGTATTGCTAATGCTGCTTCTCCCCACAAAAACCTCAAGAAATTTACAGACCTGCTAGATTCTAAAACCACTGAATGTCACGAAGGCGTTACTGCAATGATGCAGGCCCACCGACTCCACAGCCTGGCAGAGATCAAATGCCCTTGGACCTCACAGAAAAAGAAAAAAAAATCTATGATTACTTGCTTCATGATGTCAAACTACAAAATGCCAATGTAATATATTAAAACAGGATGAGTAAATAAGTTAATATGCATCTAACCATTCACTTTCAAAATATATTAATACTCTGTACTTGAATAGACAGAAAACACAATCATATTTTCAGAAATGCTTAGTGTTCATAAAAAACAATTTCACCGATATCATCCCACCTAACACTATAAAAGCCCCGTGAGACAGACGTTTCAGATAAGAGAAGAAAGGTTAAAATGACTTGCCTAAGAAATCCCAGAGAGAAAGCAAAAGCAAGTAAGTATTTCTAAAGCCCTTAATTCACTAACCCACACCACGCTGGCCACTCAGGGAACATGCAGTGTGCGTCTGATACAAACTCTAGGATGCCTCTAATTACGACAAAATCATGCAAAACACACCACAATAGGTCTGTGGGGTTATCACAACTCTGAGAACTTGAACTTTTACATTTCCTGACTTGGCAAGGCTAGCTGGTTGGGGAACTGTGAGCTGAAGTTCTAACGTGTTAATGTTATCTCAAACCAGGTTTCTGCATTTTAAGTTCCTGGAAGACCAGAGAGGGAGATTTGAGAGGATTAAGGCCAAGACAGAAAACTGACCTTTCTGGGACGTTTGCAGCAGCTGAATGTCAAGTGACAACAGCTAGTCTCAAAGGTCACAAATCTCTTCCTAAGCATAAGTAGCCGGAATTCCTGTTAGTGCAGGGATTTGTGGGAAAAATTTAAGACACAAAGTGTTAAGTTACATCAAAACTGCCATTCCTTTTTAACATCTGTACGTAAGTTTAAAACAATGAGCAACATAGGCTTCCGGAATCTATTTTATCATTGTACAGAGAAACTCTGAGGCATCAAGAATTTTTAAGTGGCTAAAGAGCTACGATTTCTAGACGTTTAGGTCCCGCAGAACACATTTTCCAAGTGGCAGGTAAGACTTCTTTCGCTTTTGTTAACTAGAGAATAACGAACATTTGCCATCTGACCATCCTCATTGGTTGACGATACAGAAAGCAAAAGTGGGTCGTCAGCACCTGATACTTGGTGAGTAATAAACACCCTAATAAATGCTGTGAGAGAGGTGGGTGATCTGCCTGCCAGCCTGAGGTGAATCACTTGATTACACTGTGAAAATACGCTCCCCATTAGAAAGTTCACTACGGCTTCCAGCAGAGCACCGTAACCGGTGAAAAGAAACGCAAGCTGCTCCATCGCCTGCCTCTTCACAAGCTGAGTCACGCCAAGTTCCAAAGTCAACTCCACCATTTCCACATAACTAGTACAGCAAGCAATATTTAGGGTTAGGGACACATGTGTGCTGAAGCCTGACTTATTCATAAGCTTTGCTGTTACTAATGGATTAAAAATAAACGTTTCCCCAAAACATCACACAAGAGCACGACTCCCAATAGCGGAGTGTCCACCTCTCCCCGCCTTTTCACGAGCTACGGTCCCGACTTCCTCCTCCAGTTGAAACAGAAGTCCTACTGTTGTAGCTTCACTGGGAAGTGCCGGGCACATCCTCCACACATAGGCCCCACACACGGCACTGCTACACCTACCTAACCCCTAAGCCCACCTACCTTTATAGTTTGCCTTTGTAACTCTTTCTTTGTCATCCAGATACAAAGAACGAGTTACAAAGGCAAACCATAAACTTAACAGAACCTCTTTACATATTTGGGATGGGAGAGAAATAATTAAAAGGGTAGGAGGGAGGTGGGGGATGAAAAATTGCTTACAGAGTAAAACATTCACTATTCGGGTGATGGATGCACTAAAAGTCCAGACTTCGCCATTAAGCAATATATTCATGGAATAAAACTGCACCTGCACCCCCTAAATCTACGTGTATTTTAAAAAGAAAAAGTACGGGCTAGTCCTTCGGCACCAAAGGTGACTGCAACTAGGCTGGTTTTGACAGATGATCTGAACTGACCCACGAGACCTGGAACTCAGAAAAGAAGCTGGCGTATCTCTGTCTCCCCGTCCTTCCACGTCAGCACGTCTCTCAAGTAACGGAAGCTTCCTGGGCACCAAAGCTTGTTATCGCAAGATACGTTAATATACGCTGAGGAAAAACAGACTCACTCTTACAAGTGCCCAGAGTTCACAGAGAACACCTTCACATACATGACCTTGCCTCCCAAAATCCTGAGGGCAGGCATTTTCAGATGAGAGAACAGAGGTGTAGATGGTTAAAATGCCCAAGGTAGGGGTAACTGGCTTTACAGTTGAGCCTTTTTAACATCTATGTCGACTGCTTACGTGTCTATAGTGCGAGGGGCCACTCCACGCTTAGATCAGGTCACTGTCACAGACAAAGACGGCACTCAGCTCCAAGCAAAGCTGAGAAGCACTAGGGGCAGCTCAAGGACACGTAGCCACCTGCACTGACAACAGGTGTCCAGGGTCACATCTGAGTTTTTCTTCTACAGAATCAAATTGCCAATCAGGTACTGACAAGTTCAACAGCATGTCAGAATCTCGGTTTGAGATAAGAGCAAAGCAACCATTCTAAAAATAGCCACCAAAACACGGGCAGAAGATTGCTATGGTCTTCAGAGAAAGGCAGTGGCTCACTTCCTTCCGTGTGCACCCTGCCTTCCAACCACTTCTGTTTCTTGACACGACTAGGAACCAAGGAAGTTCTCTAATGCTGCTTCTCCTCCTTCCAGGCCTAGAGCGCTACTCTGTTTTCCTAGGAAAACCCCTCCTCCACCATCCTCAATCTTAAAGGTCCACCTTTCTGTGAAGTATCAAGAGTGCATGTGGAAACACAGCCCCCGGGTAGCACACAGTGGCTCCAGCTTCCCACCTCCCATTCCCCTCCTCATCTACCACCTCACTTTTCCCATGTCAACCCATCTTACTCTAGCTCTATCTTTTTTCCCAAAAAGGTAGATCCCACAAAATTATTGCATAAACTGTGATTTCTCTGCTCTGCCCCAGTGAAGACTCAAGGTCGGCTGATGGCCAGCGTTTAGTAATTCCCAGAGTGGTGGAACACCTGGGATCCTGAACATCGGGGCACACGGCCTGCACTCCTGATTCGTAGGGTATGCATGCACCAGTGCTTGGGGCAGAAAAGGTGAATCCAGACAAGCCTGGGGACTCTCAAGTTCACAAACTTCACCACAGCCTACAACTTCCCTGTGAAATGCAGTAACACGTGGTTCCAGGAGGGTTGCTGTGTCTTTGACCTGTGTCGTACGGCACTGGGCCAACCTGAGAACCAGAGGCCGGACTCAGCGGCACAGGCTAAGTACTTCACTTCCAGCCCCAGCCTCTCAGCCTGCAAAAGTCACATTCGTGCTTCAGGAAAACTCTCATCTACTCCACACCATGGTACTTCCGGGTTCCTTCCAGACAGCCACGAGTGACTGCTAAAGCTGTAGCTGCCGTGGGTCTCCAGGGCTCTGCCCCTCTCTTGCCAAAACCTAATCCTACCCGTCTCCACAGGATTTCTTCAATACGGAAAAGGGGGCAATTACGAATCTCTCTCTAGGTGCAAACAGAGTTAAAACGACATCAAAGGTTTATTCGGCTATGAAGAAATAGAGGACCGGACTTTCCTAAGCCAGAACGACCTATTCGTTCAATCAGCCAGGCTTCAGCAGCCTGCTGTCCCACAAGGCAGCTGCCGGCCTCCTGGGGATCTCCAGCCCTGGAAATGCAGCTGGTCTGACCTGAGACGTGCGAAGTATGAAACAGCACACCAGAGTCCCCAGACTTTGTATGAAAGAAGGACATAAACTTGCTCATTAACTTTTTATACTGAGTACATATCAAAATAGTATTTTAGATATACTGGATTAAGTAAAATATATTATTAGAATTAATGTTGCCTGTTTCTGTTTGCTGTTTAAAATGTGGCTCCTAGAAAATTTAAAACTGCCCATTTGTGGCTTACTATCTACTTCTATTGGATGGTGCTGCTTTAGACAAAACCCAACAAATCCCTTACGGTTTTATTTCTAGAGGAAAGATGTGCACACTAAAGGTTTAAGGTACCCTTTTTAAACATCAGACCCTTCTTGTGGACATGCCGTGAGTCTCTCTGCATAACGGAAGGACCGCAAGGAGCCTCCTGCCACAGCTCATCCCAGCGTGCCCAGCATCGACTTCGCAGGCTCACAGCCTCTTCCCTGGGGCACCAGGCCTGCAGGGTCCACAAGGGTCCCACGGGCTCTGACGACTTCACAATCTTCTACTTCTTTGACTTTACAATCCTCTATTCATTTTTTTAAATGTCTCCAAATAAGACAGAAAAAAGAAACTTACAGGTTTTGAGATGGTGAATCCGCTGCTGGGATGCACAGGTATTTAACTCCCTGCAGAATAATAAAAAGTAAAAACATAAAAATAAAAACATGAAACTCAGTGGAGAAAAGTATTTAAGGAACTATTTACTCAGGTCAAAAAATAAAAAAATAAAAAGGAGAAGTTTTTCACTCATCTTTTGTTGCCAAGGAACTGCAGAAAAACTAATTAAAGTTCCTGGTTATTTTCCGTGACTGTGCGTACAAATAATCCTGCTTTGGTCTGCAAACAGCTTGTAGGTTTAGGCAAAACTCAAAGGACACGTCAAACAAGTGAAATACTGGAGTACTTTTCAGTAAGTTTCCATTACTTTCAAAACCAGCATCTCAGATGCTAGTTTATATATTCCCAATTTTTTATATGTTTCATTTAGGAATCTGAATGTTCAAAAAGGAAGCACTATTCGTAAAAGCCTTAACATAATAAGTGAAAACTATAATGTCACATTACAGCTTTCTACATCAATTTTAGTATCATGACAGCTACAATTTCACGGATGCACCAACATGAGCTTTACCCTAGGGATTTGTTTCATTCTGCTTGCTTTTCAGGACAATAAAGGTTTATATATCAAACAAACATACTTTTTTCTTTTTTAAAGAATGACCAAATTTGAAAAAAATAAACTTCATATACTCCTCTATAACACTCAGAAAAAAGGTTTATGTAAATCCATGCTATAACAGGCATGCTAAATTTGAGATTTATTTTTTTAAAAAACTGGCTGTTTCTCTTTCGGAGGGACTGAAAGAATGTTTCAAAAGCTCTGCCAAGTAGAAACACAAAACATAAAAATCTGATATTCTCTTTGTAAGAGATTATAGCCTGATGAAGAATTAGATGAATTATTTTAAATTATTCCTCTCTTAATTGCCTAATCTCACAGAATCCTGCCACCACGTTACAAACAATACTAGGGGTGAGGGGAGCACATCGGAAACTGGAAAAGTAACCAACCCTGAAAAATAAAAGCACAGAGAGGGAGAAGAGTGACACAGACAAACAAGCTCAGGTTCCTCGGAAGATGCAGTTACAACGCCGCACATCTTCAATAATTATTCACAAATAATTTTTGCATTTTTAAATTAAACTTTTACCATTAACTCCTATTGTTAGGAATTTCTGTGCTGTATTTGCTAATAGGAACAACTAAATGTGTAGCTGCCCCAATCCTTCCACACCCCTTACACATTTAATAACTCCTGGCATTGTGAGTCCTCCTTTTCCAACACAGGCACCAGACACACTCATGTCCCAACCGCTCTTGTGATGAGGGACTCCCCACCTGGCTTCACGGACCCAAGGGTCCACCCTCAGAGTCAGATGGGGAGCTACCGAGTGGGATCTGGGAAGCACACGTGGGCTTCGCGGGCGCAGGGCGGGGACAGAGCACGTGCGCTTCGCTGGCGCAGGTGGGCACAGGTGGGCACAGGCGGGCACAGGTGGGCCGGCTCGTGGCAAGGTGGGCACGGAGCTTGGGGCCAGTTTTCTGGGAATCGCTCCTGAACTTCAGTCTAAAACCTGTTCTCCTTCCATTCCGAGGGAACCATGAGCTTTGACTCTCTCTTAGTAAGAGCTCAGCTTCCTGCTGAAACTGGGTCAGAGCAGGTCTGTTCACCGCAACTAAGACCTCAGTGAGAGGATCCCTGTGGCTCCTTCCACAGTGATGACGGTCGTAAGTGAGAGGATCTGCGGCCCCTTCCACAGTGACGAGGGGTCAGAAAACACTTTCCCCTCACAGTTTCTGTACAGTGTGAATCAAAAACATTTTTCCCCTCACAGTTTCTGTATATTTTGCTTCCCGCTTTGCATCAATCTTTACACTTTCCAGTAAAGGCCCTTCTGGGTCTTGAAGGAGAGGAGTTTTACTGCTGTTTATCCACATGGGAACATCTCCCTTAAGACCGAATGGGCCTCAGCCACGCCAAGGGTTAACTGAGGATCTGCTGGTGGAAGAGGAAAGTGAAGCAGCAGCTTCTCCCTCCTTTGCCTTCATTCTGTCATCCCCAGGTGCCTCCTCCTGTGTCTGTCCTCATTTCTCCCGGGCCCATGGGCTGTGCTCTGCCGGGAACACTGAGCAATTGTCTGAAACTCTAAAGTATCTTCAAACCCAGAGAGTATTACAGCTGGGACTTAAAGGGAAAGCAAACAGAAAAGGAAATATTGTTGTTAAAAGTAATTTCAGTCCTTTCCTTCATGGAGGTCAGACAAGCTTGTCGGTCTAGGTGCTCATACCTCCTGTAGCCACCGCTGAAATGACTCATTTACTTCTTTCCTTTTACTCTTAAGTGAGAGTTGGCAGTCGCTCAGTCCAGAAGCTTGTGAAATCCATTCCTCCCACGCTCTTCCTCCACCCTCCCTGGAGACCAGGACATCCAGACGGACCAGAAGGCGTCTCAAGTTCCCACCTTCCCTTCTAGTGCCATCTTCAGTGTCAGCGACTCCCATGTGGCAAGGAAGCTTCAGACGCGACGGAAATGCCCGCCTGTCACAGATGCTGACTGACAGCCACTTTATTCTAGCAGAATCTGAAATCAGCCTGGTCTACATATCGAGAGGAAAGAAAGACAAAAAGAAGGACAGGAGGAGAAGGGACAGAGGGTCTGCTGAATAGCTCTTTGCTGGCTGAGAGCATTCACTCTGAGTACCAGCCGTGGGACCGGACCGTGCTGTGCTTCCCACGGCCGTCCCCGTGTGTCGTCGCGTTCCCCTCGTGGACCCGATGCATAAAAGGAGCAAATCAGGTTGGTCCCATGAGGCAGGAGCACCTCGTCAGGTGGGCACGAGAATCTACCCACAGGAGGACGGCAAAGGCGCTCTCTCCACCTGGGAACACCCTGGATGAGGGGGCAGCTCTTGGCCACGCTGGCCCTGCCCACATTTGCGGGGGTGGGCGTGTGGAGCTGCCGTTTCCCATCTGTGAATCCGCCACAGAGGAACAAAATGGCTCCCAGCCACAATTTGGGGACCCCCTGCAGTTAAGGCAGGACAGATAAAAATATAAAACCTAAGTCAAGATTATATTCTGTGGAAGAGGGAGTAACAACAGCAATGATAACAAACTTCCCTGCAAGGGAGCCCGGCACGTCACAGGCACTCGCTGAAACGTCCGTGGAGTGAACAGAGTGTTAAGCAAGAGATCGAAACCATGCATCCTGACACTCACTTTAACTTTTTAATCATTGATAATGGCGAGATCAAGAGTATCTTCAACACGTCGCTGAGCACTCGCTAAACGTCCGTGGAGTGATGGCGAGAGGATGAGCTAGGGAGCCCGGCACGTCACAGGCACTCGCTGAAACGTCCGTGGAGTGATGAGCGAGAGGATCAGGGAGCCCGGCACGTCACAGGCACTCGCTGAAACGTCCGTGGAGTGATGAGCGAGAGGATCAGGGTGCCCGGCACGTCGCAGGCACTCGCTGAAACGTCCGTGGAGTGATGAGCGAGAGGATGAGCACAACGAGCACAAAGGCCACACTGCGAGATGAGTGCAAGGAAAGAAAAACACTGCAAAGCACCATCCTCTGTCCTAGTGACCACAGACGAGAGCTGGGCTTCGGCCCACCCCGTGCAAAGGACAAGCCATCCACACATGCTCGAGGGACACCAGCGTCCCTCCCGGCCATGGGAACAGGACGTAGCTGAGAGCCAGTCGGCGTGATCCACAATAAGAACATGCAAAGTCGGTCCAGGAAGGAGTCAAAACTGTCAAAAAGGTCCAGCTGCTCGCCGCCCAGGAACACCTATTTATCTTGGTTTAGTTATTAACAAAGCATGAAAAGTCTCTTCCAAGCCACAGACTACAGAATGTGAGTTGCCTTAAAACAGCTTCAGATACCTGCACATGTGCACAATTCACGACAGTTAATTACTAATTCAGAAAGCAGCATGAGTCCCCCAGTGCCACAAGAAAGCTGGGCCCGCTTAACTACAGAAGTCAAGTTCTGCAAATGTTCTAACGTGATGTGGAATTGATGGTTTCACCACATAGGCCCTAAAGACAGGACCACTCTCCAGTTTTGAAATTTACAGAAATAGAAATAAAGGATATGTTTAGATAAGTTATGGAAAGTATAACAAACTTGGAGGTTTAAAAAAAGCAAAAATTCTAGAACAATCTGAAAAATGTGTAAGTAACAAAAATAGCAGCAATGTTTCCATTAGTACAGTGTTTGCTGTAAGGTGTTCACTCCTTCATGCTACTGCTACTATTTGAAAAAGTCAAGATAAAATGGGTTGTCTTCCTGTTGCAATAAAATTCTCACTAAATAAATAAGAATTCAGCACTTTCCATGATGTTCCAAAAAAGCGGACTGGTGGGAAGCCAATTAACATAAAGTTTTATGAGGCTATTAAATGTCAAGTTACAGGCTTCAATCTCGAGTGCACTGAAGTACAGAAACAGTTCAGAGAAAGGGGCTCTGTGTATGCTTCAAGACCGTCATGATTTCTGTGAGGACAAAGAAAGAGCAGCTGATGACGGCATTTTATGTGGCGTAACATGATGAAGTGAGCACCAGAGAGAGGAAAGGGGGAAGAAGAAACAGTCTCTACCTGTGTTGAGGCGACCACGTGTACACTGAATGTTACTAACGCCAAACAGCAAGTATAAACCATTAGTATAAAACAACTGGTATAAAACCAGGTGATGTCAAAATTAGGAAGATGCAGGCAAGAGGCAGGAGAGATGGGGGGTCTGCTAAGGAAAGCTTTCTAGTGGAGGTTTTGTGTTTAGGTTTTGAAAGAAACAACAGACGTCACTTGGAGGAGAAGAAAGCTCAGAAAGGATTCCAGCAGCTCTTCTGGAACCAGCGCCCAGAGCTGTCTACGTCCATCTTCTCAAAAGTTCTAATACTTCTCAGTTTTCTGTTTCAGCAAGTATAGTAACCACCAAAAGTAAGGTTTTTACCTTTCTTTGGGCCTGAAACTAAAGATTACACTTAAAACGATACGGAGGCAGGTCCCTGAAAAGCAGGGCCAAGGTTCTGATTTCACGACTGGTAAAGAAAGA